AATACGATTACCAATCCCTTGTTGTCATCCACGTTTTCTCGTATAACCCTACACTTGTGTATTTGTCGTCATTCACTTGATGCTCAGTTAATGAATTTATTACAGGTACAATTAGTGGTAGCACCACTTAGATTACCTGACAAAGGTTCCCATTTGGCATTTATTGTGTCTGGGGTAATTATTCAATCTAAATCCAGGTTTGAAGTGAGGTGATAGTTGTGTTATGTAATATGCACGTGGCAAACCAGCAAGAGGTGAATGATCAGTTTATTTACTTTTTTGTTGTAAATCAACAGATCGTTCCTAGTCATCAAAGGATTAACAGAAAATACGTTGATTGATTAATCACTGTTATCTTGCACAGTGGATATGTCAAAAGTGAGTGTTTACATGTCTAGGTTTACTAAAACAAAGGGAATACACTCATATCATGGCGTGAAGTGCCGATGTGAAAACAACATACTTTGTTCAAAGGGTTAACTGATAATTCGTTGATTGATTGCTCATTGTTATTTTTAGGAACCGTGGGCGTTATGAAAATAGTTGTCACGTGGGCTTTCTCAGCCGGCTCTTGAGTCTTGACACCTATGTGAAACATCTGAAACAATCCGAGTGATCAGTTGAGAAACGAATACGGGTTATAATATCCCGAAACGATATATATCTTTTAAAATATTTGATTGTTACAGAGACACGTGACATCAAATAAGTTTCTTTGTACAGCTGCAGACGTGTGGGATATTGTTCATTTGTGTGGATATTCACGGATACATTCCTCGAACAAGGAAGCTCCTAAAATTTATACACATAAATTTGGTAGGTTGCAATTATGGTATTTGCATTTTGTTTTCCTTCATTTGAACCGATTCGGTCTTGTTTCTCTACGTCTTGGTTGGGAAATTCTTCAATGCGCGATAGACGTTTTTTTCACAGGTCTTTTCCTTTGTAAGCGTGTATATATTACCGTCAATTTGTAAAATGTGATTCTCTCAGGCAATCTATAAAATGTGTAAATATTTCAGTCATTTTGACTAAAAAATCTGTCCAGATTGATTAAGATGATCAAAAGGGCCTACAAACATTACAACAGATTATTATGTAGGATAAGAAGCCACACAACATAGACATGTACTTTTCAACGTAACATTTTCAGTCTCTTGGTGATGACATTAAACATCAAAATGTTTGGAATTCGTTATCATAATAATACAGATGGAAATGTTTTTCAGTCACTTTGTAAAATAACTGAATATTTAGACTTTAAAATTAATTTGAAAATGTTACACACTTTGACAGTAAAAAAATATACACACTATAAAAAAAGCAATGCTCAGGAGAAATATTTACTTCGTGTTGCAAGTCAAAATAGTGTTAACGAAAATCGCAAAATTACCAAGCAAGTGACTTATCAAAACTTCGTCACCATTACCGATGCTACCCACAAAGATACCTACATTTCCTTATTATCTCGAAAACTGTATTTCATTTTGTTGATCAATGTGACCATACGCCCTTATTACTACCCATAAAAGTGACTGATGCGCTTACGAATTGCGCAGCAGGGGTCGCGAACTAGTCTAGATTTCTGCTATACATCCGGGTACTCACTGGGAAAAAACAATAACAAAGGCAACAACCAGTCCCGGGGAATTGCGTTAGATCAGTGCCCCTTTAACAAACACTGGGGAAGGAGGGTGAGGTCGGAGAGGGGATATAATATATACTGGGGAAGGAGGGTGAGGTCGGAGAGGGGATGTAATATAAATAAGGGAAGGAGTTGTGAGTTCGGAGAGGGGGTGTAAAAGATACTGGGGAAGGAGGGTGAGGTCGGAGAGGGGATGTAATTTACATTGGAAAGGAGGGTGAGGTCAGAGAGGGGATGTTATATACACTAGGGAAGGAGGGTGAAGTCGGAGAGGGGATGTGATGTACACTGGAGAATGAGTAGAGGTCAGAGAAGGGGTGTAATTAACATAAGGGAAAGAGGGTGAGGTCGGAGAGGGGATGTAATCTAAACTGGGGAAGGAGGGTGAGGTCGGAGAGGGGATGTAGTATACATTAGAGACGGAGGGTGAGGTCGGAGTTGGGATGTAATATACACTGGGTAAGGAGGGTGAGGTCGGAGAGGGGATGTAATCTACACTGGGGAAGGAGGGTGAGGTCGGAGAAGGGGTGTAATCTACACTGGGGAAGGAGGGTGAGGTCGGAGAGGGGATGTAGTATACATTAGAGAAGGAGGGTGAGGTAGGAGTGGGGATGTAATATACACTAGGTAAGGAGCCTGAGGTCGGAGAGGTGATGTAATATACACTAGGGAAGGAGGGTGAGAACGGAGATAGGGTGTCATTTACATTAGGGAAGGGGGGTGAGGTCGGAGCGGGGTTGTAATATACACTGGGGAAGGAGGGTGAGAACGGAGATAGGGTGTAATTTACATCAGGGAAGGGGGGTGAGGTCGGAGAGGGGGTGTAATTTACATTGGGAAGGAGGGTGAGGTCGGAGAGGGGATGTAGTTTACGTGGGGAAGGAGGGTGAGGTCGGAGAGGGGATGTAATTTACATTGGGATGGAGGTTGAGGTCGGAGAGGGGATGTAATATACACTGGGGAAGGAGGGTGAGGTCGGAGAGGTGATGTAATATACACTAGGGAAGGAGAGTGAGAACGGAGATAGGGTGTCATTTACATTAGGGAAGCGGGGTGAGGTCGGAGAAGGGTTGTAATATACACTGGGGAAGGAGGATGAGAACGGAGATAGGGTGTCATTTACATCAGGGAAGGGGGGTGAGGTCGGAGAGGGGATGTAGTTTACATGGGGAAGGAGGGTGAGGTCGGAGAAGGGGATGTAATTTACATTGGGATGGAGGGTGAGGTCGGAGAGGGGGTGTAATATACACTGGGGAAGGAGGGTGAGAACGGAGATAGGGTGTAATTTACATCAGGGAAGGGGGGTGAGGTCGGAGAGGGGGTGTAATTTACATTGGGAAGGAGGGTGAGGTCGGAGAGGGGATGTAGTTTACATGGGGAAGGAGGGTGAGGTCGGAGAGGGGATGTAATTTACATTGGGATGGAGGGTGAGGTCGGAGAGGGGATGTAATATACACTAGGTAAGGAGCGTGAGGTCGGAGAGGGGATGTAGTTTACTTCGGGAAGGAGGGTGAGGTCGGAGAGGGGGTGTAATATACACTGGGGAAGGAGGGTGAGAACGGAGATGGGATGTAATTTACATGGGGAAGGAGGGTGAGGTCGGAGAGGGGTTGTAATTTACATTCGAAAGGAGGGTGAGGTCGGAGAGGGGTGTAATATAGACTGGGGATGGAGGGTGAGAACGGAGATGGGGTGTCATTTACATCAGGCAAGGAGGGTGAGGTCGGAGAGGGGGTGTAATTTACATTGGGATGGAGGGTGAGGTCGGAGAGGGGATGTAATATACACTGGGGAAGGAGTGTGAGGTCGGAGAGGGTATGTAGTATACACTAGGTAAGGAGCGTGAGGTCGGAGAGGGGGTGTAATATACACTGGGGAAGGAGGGTGAGAACGGAGATGGGATGTAATTTACATGGGGAAGGAGGGTGAGGTCGGAGAGGGGTTGTAATTTACATTCGAAAGGAGGGTGAGGTCGGAGAGGGGTGTAATATAGACTGGGGATGGAGGGTGAGAACGGAGATGGGGTGCCATTTACATCAGGCAAGGAGGGTGAGGTCGGAGAGGGGGTGTAATTTACATTGGGAAGGAGGGTGAGGTCGGAGAGGGGATGTAGTTTACATTGGGAAGGAGGGTGAGGTCGGAGAGAAGATATAATGTACACTGGGTAAGGAGGATGAGGTCGGTGAGGGGATGTGATGTACACTGGGGAATGAGGTGAGATCGGAGAGGGGGTGTAGTATACACTGGGGAAGGAGGGTGAGGTCGGTGAGGGAATGTGATGTACACTGGGGAATGAGGTGAGATCGGAGAGGGGGTGTAGTATACACTGGGGAAGGAGGGTTAGGTCGGAGAGGGGATGTAGTTTACATCAGGGAAGGAGGGTGATGTAGGAGTTGGAGTGTAATTTACATTAGGGAAGGAGGGTGAGGTCGGAATAGGGGTGTAATCTACACTGGGGAAGGAGGGTGAGGTCGGAATAGGGGTGTAATCTACACTGGGGAAGGAGGGTGAGGTCGGAATAGGGGTGTAATCTACACTGGGGAAGGAGGGTGAGATCGGAAAGGGGATGTAGTATACATGAGGGAATGAGGGTGAGCTCGGAGAGGGGATGTAATATACACTAGGGAAGGAGGGTGAGGTCGGAGAGGGGGTGTAATTTACACTGGTGAAGGAGGGTGAGGTCGGAGAGATGATTTAATATACACTGGGGAAGGAGGGTGAGGTCGGAGATGGGATATAACATACACTAGGGATGGATGGTGAGGTCGGAGAGGGGATGTAATATAAATTTGGAAAGGAGGTTTAGATATGAGTGGGAATGTAATATACCCTTGGAAAGAGGTGAGGTAGGAGATGGGATGTAATATATATATGGGAAAGGGTTGGGAATGCAGTCAATCCATTCCAAATGATTATATTTTGAAATTTCTGCGTGTGTATGATTTCAAAAATGAAGTAATACATATGTTGTTTTTTTCACATGTTTAATCCCACAATTAAATCCCTAAAATTGTTTCCTTAAGAAACGAATATGTGACGTTGCCTTTTAGCTTTACCCAACCTTTCGTTTTGAAAATGTGCTCCCTGCTGACGAAAAATGTCGAAAATGCATTATTAAAATAGTCGTGTACTTGTTTTCCACCACTGAAAGATAAACTTCAAACTTTGACACTCCACAGCACAGCACAGCACAGCACAGCAGAGCACAGCGCAATAGAGCACCGCATACGGAGTGGTCAACAATTAGAAAACAGAGTTTTATGAAGACGTTGATAGACGGTTAATGTACCGAAGGAATACGTGACGATTTCTAAATAGAAGCAAAGAATGATTCAAATTCTTAAAAGGTACTCACTGAGATACACCTACAACCACACCACAGTCATAAGCCGTCACGGGCAGTCTGAGCAGCTCCGTATAGAGAGCATGCGCAGAAGCTTGCTGTGGCTCAATACTGATAGTTGTTGTGAATGTTTGATGTTGCGATTTAATATCGCATTGGCCACAACGCTTTGTTATCAGGAGGGAGTGTTGTCTGCACTGTGCATGTAATTATATTTAAACAAACTTTGACCAAAGGATTGCTAAAGAAGTGATTATCAAGTTAGCAACAGATGACCAGATCAAGCTCAAAACACAAACAACGATCGATCCCAAGCCGGTCTCAAGCATAGGGTGTAGGTTGGGTAGCCTTGTGGTTTGAGATTTCTCTCCGGTTCGATTCCCTATATAGGCACATTGTGTGAATCTTATTTGCTGTGTTTCCCTTCGCTGTAACATTGCTGTAATATCGCTAAAAGCGGCGAAAAGCCATCTTTACCATCACAGGCCTGGTCCTGGACAAGAGACGGAGGGACAATGGTCGGGTTCAGGACGGGCCCTGCTCGGTGCTGTAGAAAGCAATGGCCGCGTTAGGGCTGGTCCTGATAGGAGATACTGTGCCAGATACATATTATTGTATTATACAGTCATGCACATATCAGTTTTAAGTCATTTAAGCGTTTCGTCGATATTTGTATACTGACAATTGCTTTAAGAATTGCAAGTATACCATTTCCTATTTTAACTAATGAATGTATTTTTTTCTATCAACAGCTTTGGTCATTTGAAACAGACTATAAGTATAAGGACACACGTTGGGTCTATTCTTAGCTCTATAGTTTCAAATAGGTGTGTGTGTGTGTGGGGGGGGGGGGGGGGGGGGGGGGGGGTGGTCGCCACATTATTACGTGGCCTGATTTAATCAACGCCGTACATTCAAACACTTCCTCAATTCAAATCTGCACTTCACATTCACCCTTTGCACCAGAAGGACTGAGTTATAGATTGGAGTCATAAACAGTTGTAAGTACCTCACAGGTTAGTTTAATCTTTTACACTGGTGTATACATTTACATGTTATATTTGTATTGTTTGTGTATAAATAAAACCAGTAAATTCAACCTTAACAATGGTTAATCTAACCTAAGTGTAAATAATACTTTAGTCCGGTTGAAGTGAATTTCGGAGTACAGAAATGACTATAAAAACTATCAAATAACTCATATAATTCATTCAATTATTTCTATTTTCCCTATGAGTGAATTGATGCATGTTTGAGTGTTTGATTGACTGATTTCATATATGATAGGATGAATAGTGTATATAAGTACGAATCACAGGAACTCGATATTGCTCTTTGTAAAAATATACGCCCCCTATACTATATAAAAGACAAGGAGCGTCACCCGCCATATTGGAATTTTATGTAGATTAAGGGGCATATATTTTTACAAAGAGCAATATCGAGTTCCTGTGGTACGAATGTGGTTTTAGCCTAAGTTGTTTTGATGTGTTCTATGCGTTTGTAATGATAACAGATATGTTGATTTTAAGTTACTCCAGAATTAATGTTGTATATTGTTTACACAGATTTTAGGTACGCTTGGCACTACTGGCTTGGCTGAACTAACGTCGTTTGTATCCTAGTGCCATACACCGGGTAGGATTAATATCATTTTGCATTCTTGTATATGTTTATGTGATACTGGGTATCACATCTATTTCATTTAACATGTGTATTCCATTAAGACGAGGGGCGGTCGGGTAGCCTAGTGGTTAAAGCGTTCGCTCGTCACGCCGAAGACCCGGGTTCGATTCCCGACATGGGTGCAATGTGTGAAGCCCATTTCTGGTGTCCCCCGCCGTGATATTGCTGGAATAATGCTAAAAGCAGCGTAAAATCAAACTCACTCACTCACTCCATTAAGACGTCTGTGTCTGTACCATATCTATTTTTATTTGAATGTATGCGTTAATCAAGGGGTTATTGTTTTTTATTGCTAAAATGGATAGAATAAAAATTAAACCGCCCGCACGTTATCAGAAATGAACGGTCCACTGTAACTTGATATTGCCCTCACGTCACGTATTATAGTGACGTCATCTGGTGTGTTCTATGACGTTTCCATATTTGTAAAATGTGGTCAGTGACATTCGTGTTGATTGCAGTAAATGTTTCAAAACCGATTTTGTTTCTTTTTATTTGATAACAAATTCTATCCATTTTAGCTATAATAACGGTAACCCTCTTTTTCAGGGCATTATCATTTGCAGAAGCCCTCGGTCTTTTCAACTGCACTCCTTCGTCGGGCAGTTAATGGAAGACCTCGGACTTCTGCAAATGATAATGCCCTGAAAAATAGCGTTACCCTTATATAATTATCATATAGTCTGTCATTTACATTTCACCTAATTTTTTGTAATGGACAGTTTTGAAGCCTCGGGTATACTGTATAATGCTGTATTTATTAAATGATATATTGTTTCAGAGTGTATTATCAGACACTGGGAATAAAATGCTCTCACCCCGTAACCAGTGTCTTGGACTTATGGTTACCTCCACACTACGTCGGTTACAGAAACGTGACAATCATAGAATTTGAAGAGCTTTCCAACGTGAACTCGTGCACTGAAATCGCTTGATATTTGAAAAAGTGTGTTTTTCACCTCTCCTGCAAAAGTAGTATCAAGTCAGCAAACGGAAAAAGACAATGACCTACATTGTGTGTTTGAGAAACGTGCAAATTTTCGTTTTTGGCGTAAATGTGCATGTCTTTTGAAGAATTTTGCACTGTCCAAATCGCTTGAAATCTTTCGGAAACATTGAAAGGGTTACATTGGCTATCCAACTATGTCAAAATAACCAGGTCTGTGTTACACATGCGCGTGCGGTAGCGCCCTAACATACGCCCCTGACGTCAATTTGGACACCTTCAAACGGTTGTATTTCCCTAACGACCCCTTATAGGTGTGTCGGATTTGGTATCAAACGTCTTAGAATGTGGAGAGCTTTCCAACGAACCATCGTGCACTAAGATTGCTTGTCATTTGAGAAAAGTTTGTTTTTCACCACTCCAGCTAAAGTACAATCAAGTCAGCAAACGGAACCGACAACGTGTGTGTGAGAAACGTGCCAAATTTCGTTTCTGGCGTAAATGTGCAGCTCTTTTGGAGTATTATGCAGTTACCAAAGTAGTGATAGGAATGTAGAGGGTCAATGATCTAATCCAGGACGGGCCATGGTAGGGATGTAGAGGGACAATGATCGTATCCAGGACGGGTAGTGGTTCGGATGTAGAGGGACAATGATCGTATCCAGGACGGGTAGTGGTAGGGATGTAGAGGGTCAGTGATCGTATCCAGGACGGGCCATGGTTGGGATATAGAGGGACAATGATCGTATCCAGGACGGGCCGTGGTTGGGATGTAGAGGGACAATGATCGTATCCAGGACGGGTAGTGGTAGGGATGTAGAGGGTCAGTGATCGTATCCAGGACGGGTAGTGGTTGGGATATAGAGGGACAATGATCGTATCCAGGACGGGTAGTGGTAGGGATATAGAGGGACAATGATCGTATCCAGGACGGGCTATGGTTGGGATGTAGAGGGACAATGATCGTATCAAGGACGGGTAGTGGTTGGGATATAGAGGGACAATGATCGTATCCAGGACGGGTAGTGGTAGGGATATAGAGGGACAATGATCGTATCCAGGACGGGCTATGGTTGGGATGTAGAGGGACAATGATCGTATCCAGGACGGGTAGTGGTTGGGATGTAGAGGGACAATGATCGTATCCAGGACGGGCCGTGGTAGGGATGTAGAGGGACAATGATCGTATCCAGGACGGGTGGTGGTAGGAATGTAGAGGGTCAATGATCGTATCAAGGACGGGCCATGGTTGGGATGTAGAGGGTCAATGATCGTATCCAGGACGGGTAGTGGTTGGGATGTAGAGGGACAATGATCGTATCCAGGACGGGTAGTGGTTGGAATGTAGAGGGACAATGATCGTATCCAGGACGGGTAGTGGTTGGGATGTAGAGGGACAATGATCGTATCCAGGACGGGTGGTGGTAGGAATGTAGAGGGTCAATGATCGTATCCAGGACGGGCCATGGTTGGGATGTAGAGGGACAATGATCGTATCCAGGACGGGCCGTGGTAGGGATGTAGAGGGACAATGATCGTATCCAGGACGGGCCATGGTAGGGATGTAGAGGGACAATGATCGTATCCAGGACGGGTGGTGGTAGGATTGTAGAGGGTCAATGATCGTATCCAGGACGGGCCATGGTAGGAATGTAGAGGGTCAATGATTGTATCCAGGACGGGCCATGGTAGGATTGTAGAGGGTCAATGATCGTATCCAGGACGGGCCATGGTAGGATTGTAGAGGGTCAATGATCGTATCCAGGACGGGCCATGGTAGGAATGTATAGGGTCAAAGATCGTATCCAGGATGGGCCATGGTAGGGATGTAGAGGGACAATGATCGTATCCAGGACGGGTAGTGTTTCACATGTAGAGGGACAATGATCGTATCCAGGACGGGCCATGATTGGGATGTAGAGGGACAATGATCGTATCCAGGACGGGTAGTGGTAGGGATGTAGAGGGTCAATGATCGTATCCAGGACGAGCCATGGTTGGGATTTAGAGGGACAATGATCGTTTCCAGGACGAGCCATGGTTGGGATGTAGCGGGACAATGATCGTATCCAGGACGGGCCATGATAGGGATGTAGAGGGTCAATGATTGTATCCAGGACGGGCCATGGTAGGAATGTAGAGGGTCAATGATCGTATCCAGGACGGGCCATGGTTGGGATGTAGAGGGACAATGATCGTATCCAGGACGGGTAGTGGTAGGGATGTAGAGGGTCAATGATCGTATCCAGGACGGGCCGTGGTAGGGATGTTGAGGCCAATGATTGTATCCAGGACGGGCCATGGTTGGGATGTAGAGGGACAATGATCGTATCCAGGACGGGCCATGGTAGGGATGTAGAGGGTCAATGATCGTATCCAGGACGGGCCATGGTAGGGATGTAGAGGGCCAATGATCGTATCCAGGAC